TATAAAAGCTATTGCTAACATTTTAAGCTTATTTTTAAGAAGGACTTACTAAAAAGCTGAAATGCATTATACAATGTAAGGATAGACTTTAAGATAATCTAACTTCAACATCTGTCCTTTTATATAAATTTTTAGTAATCATCAATTATTCCTATCATACAGTATTTAGGGGCTTTGTGATTAATATATAGCACAATGGTTTTTAAGAACTCCTTAATTAGAGTTTAAAACTTGATCAAATTGATCAAGTATGGATAAAAAGAAAGATTAAAAATTATGTAAAAGAGTAAAACATTGCCAAAACACTTACAGTTGCTTATGTAGTTAAATAAACAAATTTATTATTTTAATTCTTAACCAAAACATCTATGGAGAAAATGCACAAATACCTACTAGGTACTAATTTTCATACTTAAAGAAGACGTGGTAATGTGCTTTGCATCTTTTTTTTTTTTTTTAAAGATTTTATTTATTTATTTGACAGACAGAGATCACAAGCAGGCAGAGAGGCAGGCAGAGAGAGAGAGAAGGGGAAGCAGGCTCCCCGCCGCCCAGAAAGCCCGATGTGGGGCTCGATCCCAGGACCCTGGGACCATGACCCGAGCCGAAGGCAGAGGCTTTAACCCACTGAGCCACCCAGGCGCCCCTGTGCTTTGCATCTTATTTTTTTTCCCATAATAAGGACTGTGTTTTTTATGTACCTTACCTCACAAAATCCACCTTAGGATAACCAGACTGTATGTATAAGGAGCAGGTCAGGATTAAAGGTTCAGTTGGGGGATATGAGCAAGAAAAAATCACCCTGTTCTCTCAAGGAACAAATTCACAGATTTGGCCTCATCACCACAGTGTTCCATTCAAGGAAGCAATGTGTGAAATCACAGCTGACTTGGTTGCCTTGGAAACTGACTAGGCAGCACACATCTTCACAATATTTTAGGTTAGCATTAGGAGATAATAATTTAATGAACTTTCCATTATATCTCAAATTACCACTGAAAGTAGTATCAAAAAAAAGTAACTTTAGATTATACACAAAATGATACTTGTTTATGCACCTTTTCTTTCTTGGCTGCTTTCTAGTTTTGCATAAAACCCATGTGGTTTTAAAGAAAGAGAAAAAATAGCATTATCTCTTACCAGACCCAAAAAAAGGCCAAAAATCAAGGTGGCCATGACGAAAAAGACATAAGAACACCAAGCAGGAATTCCAAGGGTCACTGTGAAATAGTTGTGAAGATGCTGTAATCAGAAGGAAAAAATAAAATCTTTATTAATTACCAAACATGTCTGAATCTCCCTCTCTTGCTAGAACTGAGGTCTGCTAACTGTTTCTACATGTATGAGTTCCCACAAAGTTCACCCCATTTGCATTTATGTAATTCTTCAAGGAAAAGTCAAATTTTACAACATTAAAAATTGGAGGGTACTAATCAAGGTCATATCTATGAAGAGTTATATTTCTTTGTTCATGATCTGGTAGAACTATGGCAGAATTGTTTTTCTAGACCCTTCTTTCATCATGACAGATTCTTTTTGGTCATTCTCCCCTAATAATTCCATATACCTCAATTTTTACTCATCATGTGGCATCCATAAAAAAAATTTCTTTTTAAAGATTTTATTTATTTTTTAAATAAATTTTTAAAAAGATTCTAAAGATCTTCTTGTCAATTTTTAAAAAAGATTTTATTTATTTATTTGACAGAGAGAGACACAGTGAGAAAGGGAACACAAGCAGAGGGAGTGGGAGAGGGAGAAACAGACAGATGGTCTGTCGAGCAAGGAGCCAGATGCAGGGCTCCATCCCAGATCATGACCTGAGCCGAAGGCAGCCGCTTAACGATTGAGCCACCCAGGCACCCCACCCTTTGTTAATATTTATGTGGAACTAAATTACTACTTACAGAACATCAATCATTTAAAATGTCTCCATACTGGGGTGCCTGGATGACTCAGTTGGTTAAGCGTCTGACTCTTGATTTTGGCTTAGGTCACAATCTCAGGACTGTGAGATGGAGCCCTATGCCAGGCTCTGTGATGGGCATGCAACCTGCTTATGATTCTCTCTCCTTCTCCCTCTGCCCCCCTCCACCCCCAATCCTTCTCTCTTTAAATAAATAAATAATAATAAAACAAAACAAAATGTCTCCATACTTCCTTTTCCTAATCAGATGATTTCTCTACCCTACCCATCCTCAATAACTTGCCTAAATCACCATAAAGCTGAAAATATCCTAAACAGAAGAAAGTCTTTCTAGTTAATTCATTAGGAATGAATGAGATTCCATCAGTCTTTGAGTACAGCCCACATCCCTTCATGTTTACTATTCCCGTCAAATACTTAAAAAATGAGTGAAGAGATACCATCTTTGCTGAAAATTGTTTACATGCTAACTCATGCAGGTATGAACCTACCAGTCTGGAGTGAAGGCCCACTTGAATTATGGACCTGCAGCAACCATGCTTCATCATGATGGCTTAGTGATCATCTGTGTTAGGCCCTTACAGCTCCAAAACCAGTCATTCACTATAATCCAAGCATTTACTGGGCCCATGATGAAATGGCTCCAAGCTAAGTGCCACCAGCAAGCAGAGATAACAGAACGACTAACCTAGAATTGATGAGGTGGATGAAAATGACTCCTAGTTTCTATTTTAATTTAGTATTTCTCAAAATCCAAATTACTCAAGTGTCTCCCATTGGTTTCTCAGTTTATAAATGTTAATTCAATTAAATAATGTATTTTATTCTGGCTTAATTCCAAATGATAAACCAACAAACAAAAAAGCTTGTTAATGGTCTAGAATAATCTGAGCTCTCTTCTCTCCAATTTCTTATTCAGTGAAAGACATAGATCTAAAGACTCAGCAAATACTTTATATATTTATATATGCCAAGTGTTCAATAAATATTTATTGAATTAAAAAAAGATACTAGCATATCCTTCAATTATTCATAAGAAATGCAAACAACTCGTGATTCGTAAAACTACCATCCATTCATCCATCTTCTGTTGATGGCATTGGTCATTTTATCTTTAGCCGGGCAATTATTTATTAAGAGTAATCTAACATTCTGCAGCCCAGTAAAGAGGCAAAGAGGTCTTTGGGATATCGAAAGGCTGCTTCATTCAGATTCTGTTCAGTGTAAGTTCTAAAACGTAGCATATACTTTAGAAAATTCTATGTATACATAGTTTATGCTTTTCTTGATGACTCAGTGCCACCATCAGGATTAAACTCTGAAATGCGCCAAAGAATTAGAAGATATAGAAAACCAGTCTGGCTTTGTGCTGACCCATAGAGGTGTGTATTCTGGAGCTTGATTTATAAATAATATCCATCCATATGGCTGGAATGAATAATGTCCCGTTCTAAGTCCTGCATAGTGTCTCACACCCTTTCTGCAAAATAAATGATTAAAGTAACCCTTAAGAAATTTTCTAAGTTATTTTCTGGAATTCAGTAAGTTATATGACTTTGAATAATTGCATTCTGGGTCACACACTTCTTAGTGGATTCAAAATATCCTCTTACTGTAGTGAGTTCCGCTTCAATTTTCTCACATCAACTTACTCTTTAAAGATCTATGTGAGCCTCTTAGAGAAACCCTGCCATCTTGTGGTCTTTTAGTTAATTAATACCAAAGCCTCAATTAACCAAGTTGTGTTTTCACAACTGCAGACATAAATCTTTACCTGTTTACTTTGTCAGAGTTCACAGTAGTTTTAGAACACCTTTAAGAGTGTTGGGGTTTGCGGCATTAGGTACATGAAGTCTTGTTGTATATACGTTTTTGAGTAATAACTGATTCAAACTGATCTAACTCAGTTTTAGATTCCCGTGTTTTGTTTAACTGCCAGGCAAAGTGACAGTTTTCACTTGTAGAAAATACTGATCCTTATTCAAAATTATATGTGCTCATTATAGGGAAGTATCTTACTCTGCTTCCTTAAAATGCACAAAAATATCACCTAATGGACCTGACAATTTACACAGTACCATTGTAATAGATAATGGAGTTAGAGGTAGTTTTTGGCTACATACAGATTTGAGTGAGAGACTAAATGAAAACACCATTACAGTAGAATAAATGAGAAGAACATTCTACCTGGTGGTCAGTTGGATTTAAGGAATGGAGCAAGGCCAAAGCGTCCATGGACAGAGGTAGAGCTTTCTCTCTCCAGGGAGCCCAGTATTCCCTCTGGGGATGGAACTACTGAAGGTCAGATTCAATGCTGTCCAGGGGCACTCACTCAGGGACCCCAGTGCTGCATAGTCTCATTCAGAGCTGGGCTGACCCTAAATGACAGAGAACTTTTTGGATTTAGATCCCGCCAGTGTCACAGAATATACTCTGAGGAGTTTTGGGACAAATCCAATATCCCTTTCAAACACAGATCAGAATCCTCAAAATATCCTCCCTGTGTGGGAGCAGCTCAGACAGACTTTCTCTAGTAATAGCCAAGGGTCCAGTTCACCTTCAATGTTTTACCCTTTCAACACTTGTAACAAGACACAACTTTGCAGCCTCCTGTAGGCATTAAGGGAGGTATTCTGTGGGTGTACAGCATCTCACTGTAATAGGGTTCTAGATCATTTTACAAGGAAAAAACCTCAAAACAGTAAGAGGAGAGATGCCACTGTCTAAAATACAATGTTTGGGGGAGCTTTAAAATATATTCTTGTTAAGTGTTGGTGTGGATGTGGAGAAAAAAGAACTCTCGTGAACTGCTGGTGTGAATGCACACTGGTGCAGCCACCTTGGAAAACACTATGGACGTTCCTCAAAAACTTAAAAATGGAATTACCGTGTGATCCAGTAATTTCACTATGGGGTATTTATCCAAAGAATATGAGAACAATAATTGGAAAAGATATATGAATCCTATGTTTATTGCAGCATTATTGACAATAGACAAATTATGGAAGAAACCTAGTGTTCATCAACAGAGGAATGGATAAAGAAGATATGGTATATATGTACAATGGAATATTAGCCATAAAAAAGGAGATCTTGCCATTTGCAACAAGGTGGATGGACCTAGAGTGTATAATGCTAAGTGAAATAAGTTAATCAAAGACAAATATATGATTTCACTCATGTAGAATTTAACAAAACAAACAGAAAAAGAGAGACAAACCAAAGAGCAGACTCTTAACTGTAGAGAATAATGGTTAACAGAGCGGAGTTGGGTGAGGGTATGGATAAAATAAGTCATGGGGATTAAGAGTACACTTTTCATACTGAGCACTGAGTAAAGTATACAATTATTGAGTTACTATATTGTACACTTGAAACTAATATAGCACTGTTTGTTAATTACACTGGAATTGAAATTTTTAAAAAAGTATTCCACTTTGAAAGAAACACTGTTATTCTCCAGTCTAAACACTCATGTCCTTAAATCCTCATGATGAGGTATTTATAAAGTCTTAAATCTTCTCCACCATACGGACTATCCCCGCAAGGATGCATCCTACCTTATGGTCTGCGTCCTTGAATAACAACAGTGGCACTGAGGTGAGGGAAGTTACATACTATATTAGCTCAGTGAACAGCACAAATTCACCAAATCAAATAAAATAATACTGAAATGCGTTCAGGTGCTAAACCTAGTTAGCAAAAATACACATTGTACAACCTGCCATTAATCCTGCTATCAGCCTGGATTTTAAAAAAGTAAATAAATAAAAAGAGAAAGCATTCCTTATTGACTAGTGAGAGGTAAAAAGCAAAATAATGATGACAACGATGATTAATGGATACAACTAACAGGAAACAGTTACCAAGTACTGACTAGGTGCCAGGTTCTATGCTAAGCACTCAAAATGTTCTGGTGACAACAGTTTACAGCAGGGAAAACTCATGAGTTCAGAGATACACACAAAGGGTGGAGAATAATGAGTTGTCTCTCTGGAAGAGAGAAAGATAATACCTCCCTACACCATTGTAGCCAACTGTGAAAAAAGATGAGAAGACAGAAAGGCTGGAAAGTCTCTCCAAACAGGGGCCACAGACAACATGTCAGCCCCAAGATTCCAAACCCTGACAGTGGCACCAGACTCAGTGACAGTGCTCGCCAAGTTCAATCTGTGCACCACTTTCATGGCATTCGCCTCACCTTGTACTATCCTTTAGATCATTAACATTTTTCATTAAGATGAGTAACTTCTTTTAAGCTGAATTTCAAAGAAATTTGATATTGCTACTATAAATATAAAATCAGTGCTGATTCCATATCTAGAAGATGTCTATCCACCTTTGAGAAACTCCTTGAGCTGTCTTCCAGCCACCAGTGATTCTTATGAGGTAGGCAAATGTCAAGACTATATATGAGGATGGGTGTTAGAGCTAAAGTGGCAGTGACTTCTACAAGTTTATATAAAAATTAAAACACATCAGTGAATACTATCACAACTGGATTGGAAAGACAATCTGAATTTTAGTGCTGGATAGAACATATGAGATTATCCACCCTTCCCCCACATTGTGGTACAAATTACCTACTAAGGATCACTTGGATTCCAGGAGACAGCAGGAAGCTCGCAGTATCTGGCTTATAACACAGTACTAGGGACTTCTTCACCTCAAGGGTTTAGTCAAGCAAGAACATATGGGAGGTTGGTGTAGAGTTAAGGAAGCCAAATGCAGAATACAACAAAACCCCTGAGTTCATGGGAACTCAGCTGTGTGGGTGTCTCCTCACCAAGCAATTCTGACATCCTGAGGACAAGCTCTTATTTCCAGAATGCCAGACCCAGCAAGCTAGCTGTACTCCTACAGCAGAAACTCAAGGACTTTAAGGACTAGTTCAGTAGGCTCATCTTATAGATATTACTCTTGTTTTTACTTTATCTTTTTCATTACAGAAACAAAAATTAATACAGACAAAGATAAGAGATTTAGCTATAGCCATAATTTCAGTATCAGAGATAGCTATTGTTGACATCTGATTAATCTCCTTCCAGGTACTTTCCCGTAGACACATGAAAACACCACACGAACATAGCATTACAATCACTGCTTTGTTACCTTTTCCCCCACTTAATAGCATGCAATTTTCCCTATAGAAATATTATGCCTAACCAGCCACCCAACCAGGGGAGGCTGTTGCTGAAGAAACACTGACTTCTGTCTGTTTATGTATCCACAACATCACAGTAGGATAAGAGAGATTGTGGATGGGCATCAGTAACCTCGCCTCACTGGCATTAGCTACTCTGTGTCTTTCCCTCTTTCTTGTTTGGCTCTTTGGACCTTCTCTCTTGGAGACCTTACACTCATTTGGTTCTAGCCATGTTCTTTCCCTCTCTCTCTTTCTCACCACATGCTATGTTTCTTTTGTTCACTGTTAATATGGTTGCACTGGAGTTTTATATTGTTTAGACATGAGTTACAAACAGATTATCTTCCCCACAATGATACATTCAACATTGATGGAAGGATCCTGGGCAAGGGAGAAGGGCTGGCTAAATACGCTGAGTGAGCTGGGTAGTCAGCTAAGAGGACTTTCTCGGTAAGTGGTTCTTTAGATGCAACGAGGCAAGACTGCGCCTCGAAGTTGAAGTGGAAACCTGACACAATTGAGGATTGGTTCTCACCAGGCTGGAAATCATGTTCCCTGTGAGTAAGAGGACAAGCTCTAGATTATAGAAACAGGTTGTGAGAGCCCTTCCCAGAGATTTCATGGAAGCTTGGAAACTTGTTTCTAAGAAAAGAAGAAACTACAAAGTTGTCCAGAGGCTTGGAGAAGCTAGATGCTGATACAGAGGGTGATACCAGATTTCTCTCACAGTTTTTTAAGGTAATGAATACACACATGGAGAGATCAAAATAATCTACTAAGCTACCATTTATGTTCCTTTAGTCCTATTACTCCCTGCTACACACACACACACACACAACACACACACACACACACACACACACACACACACACACACACAACCTACAGTTAGGGCAAATACATTAGTAAGGCCAATAAATATAAATGGATTAAATTTATCATTTAAAAGAAATACTTCTTGCTATATGTATTTTACAAGACTCATTTATAACATAACAAGAATGAAAAGGTTGAAAGTGGGAAAACATTCCAGGCAAAAACTGACCAAAAGGAAAAAATATGGTATTAATACTAGATAAAAGTTACTCAATAGAATGTAAAACCTAATTGTTTGTGTATCACATTTAACAATTTATCCTATAAAACTATTTTCTTTTGGGGGCGCCTGGGTGGCTCAGTTGGTTAAGCCTCTGCCTTCAGCTCAGGTCATGATCTCAGGGTCCTGGGATCGAGTCCCACATTAGGCTCTCTGCTCAGCAAGGAGCCTGCTTCCCCTTCTCTCTCTGCCTGCCTCTCTGCCTACTTGTGATCTCTCTGTGTCAAATAAATAAATAAAATCTTAAAAAAAAAAAAAAACTATCTTCTTTTGTTCCCTGTTTAGATATCTGGAAAGACATTCTAAGTATACATATGTATATAAACATCATATATACTCTACTTTTCAATCACTAAAAAGAACATCTTTATTGGGGTATCTGGATGGCTCAGTTGGCTAAGCATCTGCCCTTGGCTCAGGTCATGATCCCAAGGACCTGGGATCAAGGCCTGAGTCTTGTCCCTGTCCAGTGGGGAGTCTGCTTCTCTCTTCCCACTGTCTCTCCCCACTAACCCATTCATGTTCTCTCTCTCTCACTTGCTCACTCTCTCTCAAATAAATATATAAAATCTTAAAAAAAACAAAAGGAAGAACATCTTCATTGGTTATTCAGAGATGGTTCATATTCTATTCTCCAAATTGCCTTTTCTTTGCAGTCTGATGCACACACACAGAATCTGCATGCTGCCCACGGCTGGAGCACTGTGCGTATAAAGATAAAACACCCACTCCTGGCCTTGACGCGACAGTACCGCACATTGTAATTATTTGCATGATAAAATGAAAAACTGTAACTCCTTATCAAACTCTTGTTTATCAAGGCACAAAATGCCAAGTTATATGAGGTCAAAGCAATTATTTCTCTCCCCGGATACTATATTTGAAAATATACCTCTTTAACAATGCATGAAAGTTATGACCAACTTCCATCTAAGCTCTTCTTAAACCACTATACAAATTCATCTCTTGACATATACTTATTATAGGTTCCATTCTAAGAACTTACTCTTAGGATTCCTGACATCCACCTATAATGGTCATCCTGTTGAATTAGACATTATAAGGCTATAAGGTTCTCAGATGGCTATCAGAATAAATGACTCTGTCAACCTTTAGTGTCAACATACTGCAAAAGGCAAAATCCTTAATCTCAATTCCCAATTGGCATAATTCATAATTCTCAAACCCTGAATAAACTTCTCATCAGTGTTAAGAAAACAGTAGAAGGAAATCATATGAAACTCATACTTTCTGGAGAGAGGGGAAATCCCAGTTATTGTTTAATATCATACACAAATGCCAAAAAAAACCAGTTAACAAACTTTAAGAAATACTGAATCCAAGTGACAAACCTAGCTTCTGTTAAAAAATACTGGAGTTAGTATTCCACCTTACAAGGCAGAAAATAAAATATAACTGAAAAACTGGGACCCAAAAGACCATTCTTAAATTTCCCTAAACATATAACAATGTGCATGAGAAACAGAAGAGTCTTCATGAACTCCTTGAATATTAAGTTCCAAACAGGACATCATGACTTAGAATCATAGCCTTGAAAAGACAAATAGAAGGACTCACTTCTAAAGACTTTTTGAAATGCTTTAAGGATATATATTTAATTCCACAGCAACTTTGTTAAATTTGGCAGAATTTACCCCACCCTACACATAAAGGGAAGTAAAAGATTATGTAACACATTCAAGATTATATAATTGTTCAACATTTTTAACCTAAATAACAGTTCTAACTCACTGAAATGACTCAGTGAGATGATAAAATTGCTTATAGCAGGGGCATTTAAACTTCTTCTTAAAGGGCCAGAAAGTAAATATCTTAGGCTTGTGGGCCACGTGGTCTCAGTCAGAGCTACTCAACGCTACCACTGTAGCATGAAGGCAGTTCTAGATCATAGATAATGAATGAACATGGCTGTGTTCCAATAAAACTTTACTTATAAAAACAGGTAGCCAGCCCCCAAGCTATAGTTTGCAGATCCCTGATGCACAGAATCACTTTCAGGCTTAGATAATCTTTGACCTATAGGGAGATTCTAACAATGGGAAAATAAGATGAAGTTAAACCACACAAGCCCTTTCAGCTTTAATAAAGGGACTCACCACTGATCTAAGAAAATATGACTGATACAGTAGTTATGGGTCTTTGTTCCAGTTTATGCCCTTCTACACAGGGACGCAATTCTACTGGAGACCCCACATGAGAGCAGTTGTGTGGCTTAAGAAGAAAAGTGACATTATACAAGTATTTGTAAATTTTTACTTTCCTATTGTTTAGAAGCTACATTTTTACTCTTTAAAAACCTGTCTGCGAAGATAGTCACAAAAAATATATTTAAGATTACTCACCCATATCTTGCCAGAGATACTAAAAAGACCAGCCATTCCAGACATCCTAAAAGAAAAATGAATAAATGAAGAGAAGGAGAACCACTGGTGATGTATACTATGAAAAAACAAGGGGCGCCCGGGTGGCTCAGTTGGTTAAGTGCCGGACTCTTGATCTCACCTCAGGTCTCGATCTCACAGCTATGAGCTCAAGCTCTGTGTTGGGCTCCATGCTGGGAGTGAAAACTATTTTAAAAACAAACAAATAAACAAAAAACAAAACAAAACAAAACAAAACAAAACAACACAACCCCCCCCCCCAAACCAAAAAACCTCAGGTCACAGGGATCTGCCCCTTCACTTTTTGTAATGTTTTCCTCTCTCCTGGATTCACTGTCATTCACATAAAGGGTCTTCTCCAACCTCTCCTCCTAAGAGCCATAGTCTTCATTTCAATTCCTCTGTTATAAATATAACAGAGCCATAGTCTTCATTTCAATTCCTCTGTTATAAATATTCAACCCCCTGGCCCTTTCTCCCTCCATTGTGCATACCTGACAAAAAAACCCAACCTTGGGTAGCTGCATGTCTCTGGGGAAAACCACATGACCAGCTGATTGCTCTCCCTTCCCAGTCACAAACCTCAGGGAGCACTCAATACTGTATTGTTTTAGGCTCTACCTGAGATGATAGCTCATATCTTTTCCCTCCCTTCAGACCTTCCACACCCTCCCCCCGCTTTCCATGCCTGCTCAGCTAACAAATACTCCTTGTACATCACTGCAAAATCAGAAGCCACCATGTGATCTCTCTTATCTTCCCACTACCAAATCTGAGCCTGGTGTACACCTGATCTGCCTCCTCCTGTTACGACAGAGAAAGGAGATCTGCCCTAACCACAGCCTAGTTCCTCCACTTGTGCCATGGATCCCATCCCTTTGGTCTTGTTAATGACTTGGCTCTTTCTGCCATCCCTATTCCTGTGTTAGCAATTTCTCCCTTTCTGTGGGATCATTTTCTTCTGCACGAAAACATGTTCTACCCTCTCTTTCTTTTAAAAAGTGCATTCTTGGACCTCACATGGCTCTCCAGCTTCACAAACTTCTCCAAAGAGTAGTCTGTGCTTACTGTTTCTTCTTCCTCAATGTACCTTTAACAGGTACAGTGCAACAGCCTTCCGATTGTCTCACCTCATCCATTGGTGCCTTCTCCAACCTCTCCTCCTAAGAGCCATCTTCTAATTGTATGCACTGATATATCCAAGTTCCAAATCAAGGCTGCAGACCTGTATGATCCTGCTCCTGCCTGCCTCTTGTTCTTAGTGTATTCCACTCCCCCTCCCTTTCTCTGTGCTCAATGTTACCCATCTTTCTGCTCTTCAGTACCATGAGCTCTTTCCCAATGGGGGCCTATAGCCGTGCTATCCCCATTGTTGGAAATACTCCTCCCCACCCTCTTTACCCAGCTAGGTCATTCTCTCCTTCAGTTCTCTCTGCTGTTCCAACTCTCATCTGATAGAGGCCCATGCCTTCTGCCTTACTAAAGATTTGTCTGTTTTTAACAGTAGTTACCCAGATTAAGATTCTTTATATCCCTAGTTTTTTTTTTCTTCCTGAATCTGTCTTAATTTAAGTTACCTAACTCTGTCTTGCTTATTGTTGAATATCTAGCACCCAGAGCAGCATTTGGTATAAAACCAGTGCTCAAATATTTGTAAAATGAAACATCGGAGGTGAGGTGCTTTATTTTTTTAAAGATTTTATCTATTTATCTGAAAGGTAAAAAGAGCACAAGTAGGGTGAGGGGCAGAGGGAGAAGCAGACTCCCAACCCAGCAGGGAGCCTGATATGGATTTTGATCCCAGGACCCCAGGATCATGACCTAAGCCAAGGCAGATGCTTAACCAACTGAGCCACCCAGGCACCCTAGTGAGCTGCTTTTAGAGTAAGCTCTAGATTTTCTGGCTATTACACAAATGCTACTGGATGATTTATTCCTTAAATATTGCATACGTTGATTCTATTTCATCAGGGATTTTCCCTATTCTTACATATACTAATATAAACAACTACAATTATGACAATTCATTCTAAATTAAAACCAACTGTTAAAAAAGTTTGTATGGTTTGGCCTTATCTACTTCACCAATAATTACACAGTTTGACATCACGGACAAAAGTTACCTCCATCTGTGTTCCACTAGGCAGCTAAAGACACCATAGGTTTTATTTTCCTCATAAATACAATAGCAATTCCTTCATAAACTATAATTCAAGAAAGAGTTAACTCTTCTATCTTATCAATAATTTAATCAGAAGAAAGAATGGCAAATGTTATGCAATATCATATTTTATAAAGAGAAAATAGTTAATATGGCTTAGTATAAAAGTTGGAGGAAAGGCTTTTGTAACCTACCTGAATCTGGATACTTAATTCCCAGTGTGCTAACAACTAGCTGAAACATGTGGGTCATAAAACCAGAAACACAACATTGGCCAAACATGGTCATGTATAGTCTGGGTAATCAGAACTGAATATGAAGAAAAATATAGACTTGCAAGGCCTATGGGCTGTTTAAGTTAATATCTCCCATTTTATAAATAATACTTTGTCATAAGAAAGATAAGTTACGTCAGAGAAGCTGGGGATTTCCAGCCAGTCAGAGGCTCCACTGATTGCCATTTCTTCTCTAAGATATAATTTTGCAGGTCTTCATAGACTCCTGGGCCACGGTAACGGCGGAATATCCCATCCTTCGCACTATAAATTAGAAAAACAAACAGAGAATAAATCCATTAAAATAACAAGTGTTACAGATAATAAAAATTAAAACAAATACTAGTTTTACATGTGAACTTCACTTTGAATTTTCACTTGGCTCAATTGAAGAAAAAAATTATAGTTAGGCATAAATACTAATCTATTACAGATTAGAAATTCCCAAACGGCAGGCATTACACATTTTATTTTTATCATTGCACAATTTAGGACCATAAGCAAAATTCTTGGCAGTGTCTAATCTACCAAGTTACTTTTTATTATTTTTGCTATCACTTATTTCAATTTTTCTCTTACAATGGCAAAAGAGCAATTGTTATCAAGCTTTAAAAACTTGTATCCAGCTTTCCAAATTTATGTTATTCAAGCTCCCCACCGCCCCGCCTCAATTAACAAAACACCTTGTATTCTCACAGGTCCCCCAGTTTTTCTCTGACTTTTTCACCACAGTCCAGCTTCCTGAGGGAAGGTCTGCACTGGCCATTTTCTCCCCATGTATTACTCATTCAGCATTCTTGTGATCGGTGGTTCTGCTTCCACAACTCCATAGAAACTGCTAGTACTGGGGGTCTCCAATGGCTCTTCAATGCCATATCCCTAAAGCACTTTTCTGTCATTTTTCTTTGTCTGTCATCGGCACTGTCCACTACTAAACATCTCTTCGTTTCTCCTTTCCATTGGCTTTTATGACATGAACTCCCTTGGCTTCTTATTACTCCTACCACCCCTGCTCAGTTCCTCACTACCCTGTCTTCCTTTGCAGATGTCCTAATGTTGGTCAACCCCAGGTTCTATCCTTGACCTATTTCTAGTCCTATTGTGCATGTTTTCCCTAGATACATTGCAGTGTTTGTCTACCTCAATGCTGAGGAATCCCCAATACATCTCTCCAGTCGAGATCTTTCTTCTGTACTTGAGATCCTGAAATCAAACTATTACTTAAAGTTCTCCATTTGGAATTAACAGGCACTTCACACTGTCTTCTCCATCCTGGCCTCTATCTTCCAAACTTCATCTTATTCTAATGGCTCCTCAATAGCTTTTATGAGTTCTACATGGCCCATTGGTGGTCATCATAGGCTCTTCCTTCCTTATCGCTAAGTAGTCACCATGTCCCAGGGATCCCACCTCCTAAGTATCTTCCCTTTTCTCTTCCCCCATCACTACCTGAGCCTCACTAGCCTTATCACCCAAGATGATCCAACTGCATCCTATGGGTCAAAACCAGTTACAGTCCTCAGAAGGTATCTCATTTTCTCCCAGCTTTCTCCATGATAACTACTGTATCTGGAAAGGGCTTCTCCACTCTGTCTGCTTAACCCAATTCCTACCTTTCGTATTATCAGAGAAATCTTTTTTGATACCCCTCACCCCCTCCTACTCACTGTCTGACATTAGGTATATTTCCCCTGCTGTACTCCGGGCACACCTCTCCTCTACCAGCTATCATTCACTACACACCAGTGCACACCTCACACTCTCTTCAAATGTTCAACTGAATAAGCAATGGTTATGGAAAACAACTTAGAATTCCTGATACTGTTTTCGAATTTCTTCTAATGTTCTTAAGTTTCTAATCAGAAAATTATTTAAACTTACTGAAAAAATGCTGGGAGAGTAGTGACAAAGAAGCGGCCACTCAAACCTACAAGAGGCATAAATAAAAAAAGTTTAAGTCAAATTCAGACTACCCCAAGCACCTGATTTACACTGTAAGAACAAGCAGCCTTGAGCTTATTTTCATGGCCACATTATTAAAATTGTTCCATTTATTTAATCATATTTACCTCTTTTCTTTTTACTTAAAGAAATTGTATTTTTATGCATTTTTATTTACTTACCACTTTCTGGTTACTGACATATAATTTGCTTATTTTTTATGTATTGCACTAAAGTTTTCTGGCTTGTGCATTGCTTAGAATAGTATGGCGGCTGAAAGGACAGGTTGTAGAGTCATGCAATCTGGATTAAATACTAAATTCTCCAGTTACTAGCTTTGTGACCGTAAATACATTACTTAACCTTTCTGTAAAATGGGTATATGAAAGCCTGCCTGAATCATTCTGAAGTGAGATTAGATCAGTTATAAGTTTAAAAAGAATGAAGAATATGATATAATAAGATCATGTATAATCTTTTCACGCTTATAAAATTTGTAATTTCTGTCAAGGAAGTCTATGTATATTAAACAGATTTTTTTTCAATTTGTCACAGCAAACCTTTACTGAACATTAACCACATATCAAGGGCTATGCTAGGTACATGTGAAGATAAGGATAAATAAAACACTTAGTCATTCATCAAATATTTACTAAGCAACTTCTTTGTTCCAGGGACTGTGACAATGGCTCAAGACATACAAAGCAAAAATGAAAACGTGCAATCTTTATTTTTACAGAAGTTATAGTCTAGTGGCAGAGGGGGAAAATTTAATCAAATGATCATGACCAGAAACAGAGACGGATGCTATCAGGGAAAGGGGCAACAAAAACCTGCATGACACCAGGAATAAAGAACAGATCTCCGCCCTTTACTATTAACTAAATAATATTTATGTGGGCACCAAGAGTGAGTCAGTCTAGTTCTGGCAAAAAGAAGGAAAGCTAAAGGATCCTCCTGGCCCGCATGAAAACATGCAGAGATAACATTTTCACATTTCTCATCATTTCTGCCTTTCCCACTTAAGAACAATCTAGACAAAATCAATCCCTAGTTAAATAAAGTGGCTCAAATTTTACATCTCTGTGATGACTTGCTGTTTGCAATACTGAAGGTGTATTTAATAACAAGGGATGTTTGCTTACACTCATTTTATAAAGTAAATCTATACTCAGCAAAATAATTTATTGATTGATGATGACGAGTCTTCCCAAAGATGCATTCTCTATTTTTTCTCATATCCAAGCAATTAACTTTAAAACACCTGTATGGCACCTAAAAGCAAACACAGTATTCTGAAGGCAGTAATAGTCAATGCTACAAAAAGAAACATAAACTTCACACATTTATGATTGTACATCTTTTTAAAGGTTGTACTGGCAGGAACAGAAACAAAAGTGACCCGAGAAGTCAGCTGAGGATTGGAATAAGCATCTCTGTCTACAGGTCATTCTCACCTCTAACAGGCTTGGAATTCCGCTCTACCAAGGAACAAAGGCATCTTTTGGTATAGTTCCAAATCTAAATTGCCAAGAAAAGGAGTACTGGTAATCTTAAAGGCTTGAAAATTATTATATGTTTTGCTAATTACAAACAGTTTCATATCCCACTTTTTTCCTAGCTATGGATTTTTATGACTGCCCTAAATCTCAAATAAGGACACTCACAGTGTTAGGGAATTATGCTTTATTTACACTGGACTTCTAAAATGGAACGCACAGGGGCCCCTGGGTGGTGAAGTCAGTTAAGCATCTGACGCTTGGTTTTGGTTCAGGTTGTGATCTCAGGGTTGTGAGACGGAGCCCCACATCAGGCTATGCACTCAGTGTGGAGTCTGCTGGAGTTTCTCCCTCTCCTTCTGCCCCTCTCCCTGCTCGAGCTCTATAAATAAATAAATAAAGTCTTTAAAAAATTAAAAATCCTTCATATGTTCTTGATCAGTAAATTTAAACTATCAGTTTTCTCATTAATGGGCATCATACTTTCTATCTCACTATTTTTTAGTATTAAGTGATTTTATATTTATAAAGCACATAGGACACAGTATTTGACATAGAATAAGTACTAAATACACCCTAGTGAATATGTTCTTTAAGGCTCTGGCTCAAAGTTGGAATAAAGTAGGATGCAATAAAGTAATTTAGTGTCAAGTGCTTTGGAAATCATACATTATTTTGGAGAACATACTTTTACAAATAAATGTGCCCATGAAAAGATAAATACAGAGGAAATAAGAAAGAAAACACAGTGATATATATATATATATATATATATATATATATAGTCTCTGAGAGTCTACTTTTCTGGTTCAGACTAAAAGGACACTCATTGCCAAAACTATTAGAATAAAGGGTGTGAGAACTTTATGGCTCTTGATATGAATTCCTGTGCTTTTTTCCATGACTATTGTACCAATTTATAAGACCATCAATTAAGGTTCATTTAAAATAAAGATTATTAATAAATTATAATTCTCAAAACTTATTTATGTTTATTTCTTCTAATGAAAACCCATGCAGAATACTAATAATAAGATCGCAGCATCTAATGCAGATATGAGTTCAATTTGAATGATACTGGAATAATACACTGTCACTAAGGATGTCTTCAGGATAATCAACAACAAAACCAAGAATAACCAAAGTAGCCCTTAGACTATGACACACTACTAAGTCCTTTGAAGATCTGACACCCTAGGAAATTCACCTCAAATAAATGTCATTTCTGAGAGGCTAACAAATGTTAGAAAGCTTTGGGTTTCATGTCACTGCTCCAAAAATGTGCTCTAACCTTTAATACTGATGCTGCTATCAAGGGAGCCTCTCATTACCTGAAAAGTTAAAACATTACCAACTTGGAACAAAGAAGCACCATCTGAGGTTGTGGGCTTTAAGGTCAAGGTCTAAAAAAAGGCAAGCATGGATCTCCGCAAAGGATTACAACAGAGGGCAGCAGCTCATGTCAAGGTTGGCATAATGATTCACTGCAAGAAACCTCACTAAGTGTAGAAGAAACAAGTACATACTTAAATTTTAACTAAAAGAGATGAAGTTTGACCACAAGGTCTCCCAACATTTCTGCATATCTTTTTTACTTTAAGGGAAACTTCTACTTTAAAATGAGGACTGCAACATAAAAAGGGCATTAATCCAAAATGCAGGGCAAAATTTATTTAATTTAAATTTAAATTTAATTTAATTTAATCAAGCTTATCTTAAACATGTAAAGCAAAAGAAAGAAAAGAATGAAAAGATAAGAGAAAGAAAAATGTACCAGGGAACTATATTTTGATATGCAAAAACACAAGGAAATGATTTAAGTTCAATACTTAAAAAATGGGGATAGCTGCTAGCTTTTGTTTTACCGTTATTAGCTGTGTTACTTTGAGCATGTTACTGAACCCCTCTGAGCCTCAGTTTTCTGAGTAATATAAACAGTTCTTCCTAGCGTTGTTATGAAACTAAAATGTATGTAAGTCCCTAACACAACTACAGGCTGAAGTAAATGCTTAATTAATTATTAGTTATTATCACCTAAAGAGTAGCAGAAGGAAAGCAATGAAAAAAAGTAGAACTAGCCTTACCTTTTGAGACTGAAATAAAGTTGTCAGTATTATACAAAAGGCTAATTTTTACAATTATAAAATTAAAATATGAACACTAACTGAACCACAGTAAACGAAGTTGGATTTTGCAACTAATTAGTGGTTTAAACACAATGCTTATTCCTGGCTATGGTAGGAATCTGGTTTACCTCTGGTCCAGTGAACTAGCCATCACCCATGTGTGCTCTATGAGCAGCTGCTGTTTTCCTGTCCTTGACAGCTAAGCTCATCTGCATGGAACAGAAGGTTCAAATACATGCTCATTACATTTAATTTCTCAAAAAACACACAACTGATATATCACCTGGGCGATGCAATAAGTAGGCCACACCATGTCATCTAACCTAAGGACTTTTCTTTCCTTGACATCTACATCTCAGCTGTAAAATACAAAGTGTAATCCCTAATCTTTATAATTCTGAAAATTTATTTTTTGTTCAAAATACCTAAAAAAAATCTCTTGTGAGATACACCAATGGAAGAGTTACAAGCATAACTAAAGACTACGCAGAAACACTTCAAAAACTCTTGCTTTCACTTCTTTTTAAAGTTTACTTGCAGGGAAAAGACATGAAATTATGCCTTACTAGCACTCACGGTAAGGCACTCCTAATGAAAGAATATACTAATGGAGATCCGTAACTAAATAGAAATCTGTATATAGAAATACCCAGGAAAGTGCTCGATTTGAGGAAAGTAGTATCATTTCAGTTATTCCCCACTGCTCATTCAGGATGCTAGATTTTGTAAAAGTGAAGTAAATACCCAAAGAGCTTTCAAGAATAGGGACGAGCTGCCCCAAAGACTTGCCAGTGAGTTAATACATGTAAGACACCCTCTCTTCATTTGGCTTCCAGGACCCAGAACCCCTCCACCTCCTTCCTACCTCACCAGCTTCTCTTCTTCTTCTGCTGTAACTACATCTCTCCTTCAAAATGTTGGAGTGCCCTGGTTTTCAATCCTCAAAACAATCCTCAATTCCTTCCTCCCCTCCTTTCGAATACCATCTACAAGGATGATCTTCAAATGTACATCACTAGCTCTGGGGTTAAGTAACATGCCCAAAGTAACACAGCTAATAACGGTAGTACAAAAGCTAGCAGCTATCCCCACTCTTTAAGTATTAAACTTAAATCATTTCTATTGTGTTTTTGGATATCAAAATATAGTTCCCTGGTACATTTTTCTTTCTCTTATCTTTCATTTCTTTTCTTTTCGGGACTTTGTTTCTTCACTATTCCTAAAAAATACTGGACCAAAGACTTTTTTCCTCCTTCTTTGATAAAAGTTTCAAATATATATAGTTTACATTTGCATAAATAGCATGAGTCAATGATAAATTTGTTTTTAAAATATTTCATTATAATAAATTCCTCTCTACATTATCAAAAAAAGCACTCAATCCATTAACAATGGAAAAAAATAGTCGTAAATCTACATTTTAGATGGAAAGACTGTATTCAGTTAGCCTTTAGATCTATGAATCCATCACAAAGCTAATTGTTTAATTCTTTTCATTCAAATCATGCTGTGAGTTCTCTGCAGGTATACCAAATGACTGAAATGTGAATAGGCCAGCTGCATTTCTAAGAAACTCATCATAAAATGTGCTTGGTGCTTACTAATTAGCAAGGCTTACACCTGATTTTGTTGGACTCAACTACTAAAAGACAAAAACAACTTTACAGCAAAAATATAATTGCAATGACTTGACATCCAAATAGAATAACTCATTCTAACAGCTCAAACCACAAACTAACAAGTATAATTGTCTATCTCTGAACAGCAGATGGGCAGAAGTGGCTTTGATTCAAATGATTAGAAAGGCAGAGGCTTGAGGACTAATGGCTTTAACAGAAATCTCTCTCCAAGGGTTTGTCAACACATCCAATTTAACAGACACCATCCATTTTACTGTCCAAGTAATTGGCAATGCATTACTTTGTGTGTTTTTGCACTCACGGTTATTACAGAAAAGTAATTGCTACACCTCCATACCTTCTTTTTCCCTTGTGTAGGGATACACGAGATAGAAATTGAATGTAGACAGGAAAAAAATAACTAATAAAGTTTCAAAAAATCCAAGTTGAAATTTGAATCATAAAAGCCCACTTTTCTTCTCATTTTGTATGTAATACACGGTAATTTTTCAAAGATTTTATTTGTTTGTCAGAGAGAGAAAGAGAGCATGCACAAGCAGGGAGAGCAGCAAGCAGACGGAGAAGCGGGCTCCCCACTGAGCAAAGAGTCTGATACAGCACTCGATCCCAGGACCCTGGGATCATGACCTGAGCGGAAGGCAGACACTTAACTGACCACCCAGGCGTCCCTACACAGTTATTTTTAAATTACAAATACAAATTGCATCTTTTCTGAATTTAAAAATTTCCTTTATTTCCCTCTTCCTTTCGAAAAATTGTATCGTTAAGAGCTAATAAATGGAGATGGAACAACAGAATTCAAAATTCACCATTCCGGAATCCATTATGAAATATTTGATTCAGATAAGATGATCATGGATTTAAATCTCCAAAGTATCACCCCAAAGGTTATTCCCTAATCACAAATAGGGTATTTCCTTTATAATAGAGAAGTTTATCCTCATCATCTTAACCAAGTGCTCAAACTCAACAGCATTAATGGTGATAATGTGTGTTCTGAGAGAATACAATTTAAGCCACAGGATCACCTATAAAGTACTCTTGCCATTAATATTTAACCCGAATCATGCTTTTGACCAAAATTCAAGCTTGAACAAAATAGAAGAATAAATTAAATGTTACCATAAAGAAACACCTAGGCAAATCCCTGGTCTGTTCTCTTCAGAGTGTCAATGTCATAATGCCATGAAAAAAAGGAGGGGGGCTATCTTCTAGATTGAGGGAAACTGAAAAGATGTAACTGGGGCACCTGGGTGGCTCAGTCCTTAAGTGTCTATTTTCAGCTCAGGTCATGATCTCAGGGTCCTGGGATCAAGCCCTGTGTTGGGCTCCCCGCTCAGTGAGGAGCCTGCTTCTCTCTCTCCCACTCTCCCTGCTTGTGTTCCCTCTCTCACTGTGTCTCTCTCTGTCAAATAAATAAAATTTTAAAAGATTAATTAATTAATTAATTGAAAAGATGTAACTACTTAATTCAGTTGGTGAACCTTGGTTAGATCCTGGTTCGAAAAACTATAAAAAAACATGGGAAATACGGAGAAAGATTTTAATATGTTGAAGTATTGATGATAAAGTATCATGGGATCTATAACTAATTTTCAAATGATTCAGCAAATTAATAATAACAATATAAATATATATCATATATATGTGCATATGTATACACACACACACACACACACACACACACACACACACACACATATGTAAACACAAACATACATAGACAGACCCAGATATACCAAAATGTTACCTGTTGACTCTAGCTGGTCAGTTCATGGGTACTCAGTATCCTAGTCTTTCAATTCTCCTATACACTTGAAAAAACTCACTTAAAAAGTAACAAACTTTTGCATTTAATGTTCAACATGTACAGTACCTGGTTCTTGAGTGACATCTACTTTTCCTACACTGATCTTAAGTATTTCACCGTTCTTTGCAAATGTCTCCCATTCTGAATCAGTCTGCTGGCAGGATGGACACCAAGGAGCATAACTGTAAAAGAAAAATTGTTACTCAATACAAACATGAAAAAAAATCTATAAAGCAAAGTAGAGAAATAGAGCATTTAAATTCAAAAAATAAATTCTTAACTAAAGGGAAGAACAAAAGCAAGCTTTTCTGAAGTTGCTTAATACAGAAAAAACAGAAGAATATTTCCCCCACAACAGAACGTAACATATGAATACCAGTTCCCTGGTGATAAAACAACCAAAGTTTAAGAAGATTTTTATGAATTATTGTAATATATAAAATATTTTACTTCAATGTTATTCTTTTTTTTATTTTTAAATTTTTTAATAAACATACAATGTATTTTTATCCCCAGGGGTACAGGTCTGTGAGTCGCCAGGTTTACACATTTCACATCACTCATCATAGCACACACCCTCCCCAATGTCCATATCCCCACCACCCTCTCCCGTCCCCTCTCCCCACAGCAACCCTCAGTCTGTTTTTTGAGATTGAGTCTTTTATGGTTTGTCTCCCTCCCGATCCCATCTTCTTCCATTTTTTCTTTTCCTACCCCCCAAACCCCCTACATTGCATCTCCACTTCCTCATATCAGGGAGATCATATGATAGTTGTCTTTCTCCGATTGACTTATGTTGCAAAGCATAATACCCTCTAGTTCCATCCACGTCGTCGCAAATGGCAAGATTTCATTTCTTTTGATGGCTGCATAGTATTCCATTGTATATATATACCACATCTTCTTTATCCATTCATCTGTTGATGGACATCTAGGTTCTTTCCATAGTTTGGCTATTGTCGACATTGCTGCTATAAACATTCGGGTGCACGTTTGTATCTTTAGGATATATACCCAGTAGTGCAATCGCTGGGTCATATGGTAGCTCTATTTTCAGTTTTTTGAGGAACCTCCACACTGTTTTCCAGAGTGGTTGCACCAGCTTGCATTCCCATCAACAGTGTAGGAGGGTTCCCCTCTCTCCACATCCTCACCAGCATCTGTCATTTCTTGACTTGATAATTTTAGCCATTCTGACTGGTGTGAGGTGGTATCTCACTGTGGTTTTGATTTGTATTTCCCTGATGCCGAGTGATATGGAGCATTTTTTCATGTGTCTGTTGGCCATGTGGATGTCTTCTTTGCAGAAATGTCTGTTCATGTTCTCTGCCCTTCAATGTTATTCTTACAATGGACCCAAATTTTACTACTTTCCAGATAGCTTTTGATGGAGGATGAAACAGCTTTGAGTATGCCACTAAAGGAGGCCAATTTTCACAAGGATGTCTTCAAACTAGCCAAACCAGTTTCAGATTCATCGAAGTGAGATCTTATGGGTAGAGACCAGAAGATTTATTGCTAATAGGTCCCCCAAAATGCAAGTCATTTCCGAAGATAGGTGGCAGTTCTGAACCATTCAGAGAAAGTAGGAGCTACAGACTAAGCTTGCTCCACAGACTCTTTCTTAAATAGAAGAAGGGTTAGAAATAAACACTTGGCTGGGGCACCTGGATGGCTCAATTGGTTAAGTGTCTGCCTTGGGCTGGGGTCATGATCCTAGGGTCCTGGGACAAGCCCCACATCAGTCTCCTGGCTCAGTGAGCCTACTTCTCCCTGTTTGTGTGCTCTCTCTCTCTCTCTCTGGCAGATAAATACATAAAATCTTTAAAAATAAATAAATACTTGGGCCTTCAACCAGAACTCTACTGTTTTAGATTATTTTTTCATTCAATTAACATGATCTAAGGACCATGTTAAAAACTGAGGCTACCCCTGTGAACAAGACAGATGTGGTGTCTCCTTCCTCCTTGTGGAGTCATCCATAGATGAAAAGAGGTATGTATAGGGATAATGACAATCAAAGAGGCAGGGGCCATGACTGAGAACGCGGAACAGATGCTATGGAACACTCAGAAGCTGGGTGAACTCAGAAGAGCCCACAGAGAAAGAAGCATCTGTATTAAGATCTAAAGTAAGAGTAATAGGCAGAGAGGGGTCAAGGAATGTTCTAACCCAAGCAGAGAGAACAGGAAGTGTGAAGACAGAGTATTGACAGGACAGGATGAAAACATCATTCACAGCCTTTAAAAATGTTGTATAAGGAGTCAGGACTTTATTCCAAACTCCATGACTGACGCCCTAAAAAAAGTTAAGACTCATGATCAGATTTACATTTTTGGAAAAGTCATCTGGCAGCTCTGTGGATAATGGATCAGGGACGGGTAAGACGGAAGCAAACTGGAAGGCTGTGCTTCCTCTTGGTAATATGCTAATGGCCTCACTTTGTCTCCCATGACACTAGAAAACATCATAAATGGGCCATAAAGCTCCAATGTGTTCCAGGATGTCATATGCAGATGTTAAAATAGGAATCGAGAGAAAACTGCTGTTTAGAAAGGATAGTGGAACTCACGCATATGATCTTATTCTGAATAAGGGCATTTACACACATAATTAAAATAAATATCTTGATGTGAGCTATTCCTGGATTTAGAGTAGGTTCTCATAAAAGAAAGAAGAGCAAAGTGTGACACAAACACAGGAGGAAGGCCATGTGGAGATGCAGTCCGAGATGGGTGGTTTGTAGCTATAGGCCAAGGAATGCCAAGGACTGCTGGCAGCCACAGAAGCTAAGAGAGGCATGGAACAGAAGCTCTCCCGGAGCCTCCAGAGGGAGCCAACCTTGCTAACATGGTGATTTTGGAATTTTGGTCTCCAGAATTGTGAGAGGATAAATTTCCACTGTTTAAAGCTACTAAGTAGGTGGTAATTTGCAGTAGTCCAAGGAAACTTCCACAGAAAGGAAAGTATCATTTGAAATTAGAAGGAATTGGGATCAAATATGCCTCATGGAGTCTTAAAAAGCTGGTAGAGCTATGCTTAATATAAAATACTGCGAACAAACATACACTAGAAATCCATGTTAAAATACTAACATAGGACACAATTAAAAGGAAAATTAACATTTACAGAACAACGTGACAAAAATACATGAATACAAATGGAGAGACATTCCATTTTCCTTAATAATACCTGGAAGAATAAAAGCAGTAAATAAAATTAATTAATCAATGCTCACAAAATAGGATAGGATACTCCAGGAAAAAACATCCCCAGACATTTTGAATAATATTTCAGGATGCCATCAACTAGACATGGCATTTTAAAAATCTGCTTAAATCTGTTCAGATTATATTTTTTAAAAATCCTCAACTCAAGTCAAAATGCTGAGGGAATAAATGCAATAGGTTCTTTTAAAAGACTTGATATCACTGAATCATTTATGTACAATGGGTGATATAGTACATAAATTATGCCACCCAGGGATAGAGGGCAAGAGACATGGATGAACCAATGTTGGCAATATGTTGATACAACTACTGAATCTGGATGATGGATGATGGGGCTTCATTACACTACTCCTATTTTTGTTTATGTATGAGATTTCCTAATAAATAGTTTTTGTTGTTTTACTGAGGTATAACTAAGGTATAACTGACTTATAACATTATGTAAGTTTTAGGTAGAACATAATGATCTTAAAGATTAAAGATATTTCTTAAAGATTTGATTAAATGGAAAGATCCAACAAGTTCTGGATGGGCAGGCTCAACATTGTGAAAATTTTGATTTCCCCCCAATTTATTTTCCATTTTTTTCCATTCCTGAATTATTTTTACAAAATGTGGCATCTATTATTTCCATATTAAGAGAAGGAAGGGGTGGGGGGAAAAGAGGAGGAAACAATGTCTGCCAAAAGAATAAAACAAACACAAACAGGAAAAAAATGCCTTAGGAACGGAAATAAAGGGGAAAAAACATTCAATGATCAAATTCTATAACAAGATTTAGGCTCAAAGGTGCTGTCAGGTCATCATTCACGAACCCTTTCACCTTGACCTGAGCAGAAGCGTGGATAGAAGTGCCATGCAACACTCAAGGCAATGATGCATACGAACCAACTTTCCTGAAAAACAACAACAACAACAAACCCATCTCTGAAATGGGGCAATACTTTGCTCCTTCACATTATGAAAGGGGAAAGGGGGGTGTTAAAAGTCAACATGATGGGAGGTCACATTTATTTCAAGACAAGTATTGAGATTGGGTACAGCCCAGGAGAACAAGGACTACCCAAAGCAAGGCATGCATTTCTCTCTCCAGCCAGGCTCCAGAAGCTGCCAGACTTTAGCACAATTGTTCATCCTAAGGACTGTTCATCTGTCTCTAGAAGGGTCTAGTATAGCCAATTCCAAGATAATTCTAAAAAGTCATTAATCTTCTCATTACAGCTCACTGTGTAATCCCTGAAACCCCAGATATGGACCAGAGAACATGGACCAGGAACCATCTGCTGACATCTTTGACCACGGCTGATTTTAAACATTTCCAGGGCAAAGTATATACCTGGTACATAAATATTTGCTGAATAAATAAATGAACAAACTTCAAAGAAAATAACTCATTGAGAAAAGTCATTTTTTACATATTTAAAAAAAATATCTGTATGGCAGATGACAGTGGGGCAAGCAGTTGGTAAACTTTAGGGATAAAGAGAACATTTTATTATTTAGTACTTCAGTGGGCATTTCAGTGTATTAAATAAGAGTTCTGCCAAAGGACTCAACAAGACCAACCACAAGTATCCATGTGACTTTGGTCAGGTTAGTAATCACTCCATGCCTCAGCTTCCTCAACTGCAAAATGGGACAGTAACAGCAGCTTCCTTAGGAGGTTACTGGGAGATTAAATGACTTATATAAAGCAGGCACATATTAAGAACAATCACTAATACTACTTACATTTGTAATATACTGCTTGGTTTCCAAGACACTTTGATGATGCGGTAGAGCTCATCTGAACCTTACAACGTCACTGTCAAACAGACAAGGCGGGTATAAAGGACCTTGCTTAAGGTCACCTAAGACCACACAGAACAAGAACCCAGATGGAGGCAGTTATGTGATAAAACCTCAAGGAAAATAAGATCCAATATTGACAGAGAGAGAAAGAGGGATGGGTA